TTTTTTTTTTTTTTTTTTCTTTTAATCCTAAAGTGAATGTGGCATTTTACTTTCTAGAGAAGCCGCAAATTACAGAATGCAGCGAATAAAGCCTCTAAGGATTTGATGACCCTTAAAACTGGTTCATTTGTTGTTGCTCCTGTAAGTTATGGATTCACTCTTCTTCCTAGCACTTCTTTTAAATTGCACTTGTATCAGCAATGCAAGGGAATAAGAATCTGTTAATCTTTATTTTTTTTTATTATTTTTTTTTTTTTTCAGTGTCCCCATGATGGACCTTGCCCATTACAGAATACAGACAAATACTGTCATTTTGTTCAACGTTTGGAGAGGACACCATCTCAACGGTCGTTCAAGGTTCTTCCTGAACAATTCCCCCACCCCCAGTATACACATTTTGTAGTAACTAGCAACCGTGTTTGCTCATTTCTTTGTGCAAGAATTATTGCATCATCAACTGTTAGTTATTGAACACATTTGTGCAAATTGTGGCTTTTTACATTCAGTCAATAAACCATGGAGTTCAGTAGATTGCCCAAAAGGATAATTAAGCTGGATGAGGAATATAAAGCCAAATTCCTTCCCTTATTATCTTGGGATGAGCATTTACAGGAAATAGACAGCCTTACATCAAGGAATGTGTGCTCTCCTAGCTCTTAGTCCATTTGTATTTTACCAATCCCATAGACTACTAATGAAAGCGGCTCATTCAGAAAAATGCACGACATATGTATATATATATATATATATATATATATATATATATATATATGCATCCATTCTAAGTGAACTTTCTCTCCTATTATTATTTTCCTAAATATTGAGAGTTCTAAAACAGTTTCTAAGCTCCCAGGACTTTCTCAAAGGAGTGAACTTGAGGCAAATGTTATGACGATGAAGGCAGAAAATAAGAAAATTGTGCACTAGGTGAGGATAATACGTGACACCTAGGGCATCAAAAAAAAGCCTCGCGCTAGCGCTTGAGTTTGATCGAAATTGAGGCGAGTCGAACACCTTGTCGAGCCTATATGTTGTAAGCTCCTGTGCTCGATGAGCCGCTCAAGTAAAGGTGTAATTTACTTAAACATCTCTAACTCGAGCTAAATTCTAGCCTAGTGCAAGCTAAACTTAGGCCAAACAGAAGGAAAAATCTCATTCTCAAAGATTTTTTTTTTTGTTTTTTTTTTTTTTTTTAATTTCAAACTTTGACTGAATTCAAGTAAAAGCTGAGCTGGTGAATTCGAGCCTATCTCGAGCTTTATATATATTTTTTCATCTTGAGCCTTAAAAGATAAAACTTGAGCAGCATTGAAAATAATCAAGCAAGGCCAATGCTCGACTCCGCTTGGCTCGTTGCAGCCCTAGTGACACCAATAGAATTCAATTAAGGTAGTTCTGGTTTAAAACTTCTAGACCTCTGGAATGTAGAACTTTTAGAATTTGTCTTATATGCCATATAAGCCAGTATTTTAGGTTGCGTGTATATTGAAAATGTCAAATTGGGGAGGTGAAAGTTATGTCCTGTCTCATCCATTTCCATCTATACTAACACGAGTCTTCAACATGATAATGCAGCTTTTAAATGTCTCCTGAGCAATCTGGGTTCTCCTAATGAAAATTTCACAAAACTATTTACCTTAACAGGTTCAGCGTATTTATGCTGATGTATATTTATTCTCACTTCAGTTCCATTATTTGGTTAATTTTATAAGCTTGTTGCTTCCCTTTCCAGATTTGCATTCTTCTGAAATGTCGATAATATCCACAATTTTTTTTCCTTGGGGTTATATTTGATACTTAACTGGCTTGTCTAGAATATCTAATCTCACATATTCAAGTCTCTGCTTCAAATGAAAATGGACAACTATATCTGCTGCTTTTCATGTTCTTATCCGTTTATAGCATGTTTTCTGTCGCCTCTCTGCAATTTATGTATTTATTTATTTCTAGATGACAAATACCTTTGATTTGTGATTGTTGTAAATATTCTGTAGCCGTCAAAGGGTCCATTACGTGGATTTGAAGATGAAAAGTTTTGTTATGTTGCTTTGAGAAGAGGCACAAGACCAAGGTTAGTGTAGCTATCATACTCAAAAGTCAAAACATGTACATATAGATGACTCGAATCAAATTAATTGCCTGTTCTCAAGTAATACATATTCTATGGCCAGTCAGAGACTGCATGCCATGCTAGTATGTTAGTGTCCAATTTTCATGATTCAGATGTTGTGAATTTTGATTCGTCTGTAAGAATGCCCGTTTGAAAAGGACAATGATTATATACATTTCTCTCTTCAATCTTGAATTCAGTTTCAAAATTACTAAATTACACCTGTGAAGGATGAATTCAAGGCCTCATAGTTTTATTATGAATTCAAGGCCTCATAATTTTATATATATTTCTTCTCTTTCCCCCCTCTCTTCTTTCAATATAATGTTGGTGAATTTTCTTTTTCTAGTTCTAATCTTCTTTGTTCAAGTTCAGTAGTTGAGATTTTGTTCACTTTCTAACCAGAGAGCCTTGGCCACTTGATGGTATGAAATTTGACACGTTGAAAGAAGTACAGGCTAAGCGAACACCTGAAGACTTGGAGATTGATATGGGTAAAAGTGTTCGAGTTTACATATTCCTAGTGCTGACTAAATCATGCAAATCACGTTGAGCTGACATTTGCACCATTTTCAGAGAGCCAATTTGATGCCGAAGACGATATTACGGCCACCAAAAATGATGATGATAATGCAGATGAAGAAGCAGAAGATGGTGATGGTGGTGATTATGAGGATGATGAGAAGGATGAAAGCCCTAGAGCTGATCTGGGCAGTGGGTGGGGAAGGATTATTTACATGCCCTTTAGGAGGGGCAAACGAGTCGAGATGGATGTGTGCCGAGCCACAAATGAGGAGGGCACACAAGGCTCTTTTGACCGCGTGGTGGTTACACAGAGTAAGAACCCTGATCTGCATCATCAGGCCCGTCGATCTCTTTGGGGTGACTTGTGGCCGCTTAGGAGTGGAAAAGTTTCCAAATTCCATCTTTAGAATCATAATCTGGAGAAAAAAAAAAAAAAAAATTGTCTGTAATTAAAGATGTTAAATGGGACATTGGTCCGGAAATCCGGTCCCTATTGCCGGAAAATAATAGTGTTATGCGCAAATTGTAGGTTAATCGGTTAGTCTGCTAGCTTGTTTTGATTAATATATATGTTTTTACTTTTTATTAGCTTTATTTATTTATTTTTTATATAGAAATATTATTAATTTTATTTAGTTTTATTCATTATATAATACCCAAAAGCTTATTTTGTTCTGAAATTTATCGCTATTATTTCATATGAAAAAGGTAAGAACTTTTTTCGGTATGTAATGAGAAACAAAGATACATTAGATATTCCATTTTCCTATGAAACCTGGCTTCTTTTTATGGAGCCAAATCGCCCCTGTGGCTCCTACGTACGTAGCAACTAAAGTCTAGACGACGTATCACTTTTAACTATTTCTTATTTTGTCAAATTAGTTTGATAAAACGCTTATAGGGATCACTAGTGTCTGTAATCACATAAATCGTCGTCGCTGAAATTACAAAAACAAGCACTTAATTCGTCTATAATTACGCTCACATTAGCCAACGACGATCATCACAATTTTTTTAGAACGTAATGTTGGTTTATATTGTGGACAATTTACGCGATGATACTTCTGAGAAATTGAGTGCACACGTACTATTTGTTACGCAAAGTTAAACAATTAGTTTTGCTATGAAGCTCGTCGTTGATAGTGGAGTCAATCTTCTATATACAATAAATAAGTCATACCATATTTATTTATGTTATCAAATAATATGGTATGTTTTACTTGTTGTATATAGAAGGTTGTGGAGCCAACTGTTGGTTTAACGATTGGTTTCATAGTAAAACTGGTTAAACAATATACATCAATAATACTCAACATAGGCGCAATTGGTGCATTCTGAAATTAATGAAAAGACTACCTTAGCTTTTGGATATTTCGTGGCTTAGTAGTATACTGATAATTTAAAAGCGTATTTAGGTGTAGTATTTATTTAAATCAATGAATTAACAAGCGGAATACAAACAGAATGTTGAATTCGGCTGGTTTGGTTCGCCAAATTGTAGCATTAATTGTGAATTACATTTATGATTATTTAATGATTTTTTTATGATTATTTTATGATTTTTTTTTAATAAGAACACATAACTAACAACTAGCCAACCGAATAAGCGAACTCCACATCTGAATCTAGTTGGAGAGCTAACCAGCCGAACCAACCAACTACGCCGCTAGAATCTAGTTGGAGGATACACTAGTGATAGCTTAGAATACACAACTAATCCAAACACATACAAAAATTAAAAAACTTCCACAAATGGAGAATTGCCTCGCAAAAAAAAGAATAAGAATACAAAAAGCACACAGAAAAGCATGAAAGGAATTTAATAAATAGAATGAGGCCATCGTCACTAATCGAAAAGCAACCCCGAATCGCCACCACCGGAGTCGACGATCAACCAAAGAGACAACCAGCAGCCCACGACCCAACAAAGGATCTAGAACTCTCCAAAGCCATCCCAAAATTGACCACCAGGGTCAGCCCCAGGAACCCCGCAACACAACCCTCCCCCACCACAAAACCGGCGGCTGCAACTCAAAAACCGCCCCTATCGGAGGAACCCGCCATGCCAACACCAAGGAGAAGGTCGGAACAGGGAAAAGTTGTGGCATTGATCTCAGCCCCACCCGCCGCGAAGCAACAAGCAGCGCCAGTCACAACAAAAATCTGGCGAGCCTTCGGACTCCAAACAAAGCTTTCATTGTGAAAAATTGTTTCGCATAATTATCAACTATGCGTTTGACCAAAAGTTCCTGGGAGCCCGACAATCCCGTAAAACATGTAACGCCGACTCACATTCCCCACAAACGTCACAGTTGATAATTATGCGAGTTAATTTTTTATATTTAGTTATCGCATATCAAAATCGAACGTTGCATATTTTATAAGTTTGCAAGTCTTTTTTCTTTTTTTTTTTTTTTGCATAGTTTACGACTTGCATATTCAAATCTAGAACGACGTATAATAAACTGATATGCGCAATATATTCGAATATTCGGGAATCGCATCTCCAAATCAAAAATCGCATAATTTACGACTATCAGCCATTTTTCGCATATCCATATCACGAGTCACAAATGTTTCACATATTATTTGCATAATTTACGCACCACATTGATTACCCTATTTTTCACGTAAAAAATTTAGACAAATGACATGTAACTATTCATTAATTGGGTTTATGTATATATACCACCATTATTACTAATTATTAATTGTAAGATTCAAATGGTAACCTTTCACTTCTTGAAACCAAATCAAATAACGAAAAACCATAGCAAGAGTAAATCCTTATATTTCGATCTCAACCAAAACCAAAATAAATAATAAAAAAAAAACTAGGCACGTTAGCCGAAAAAAGTGGATAGGATTTCATACAATAAGAAGATCGCGATCTGCTTCCGTGGTGTGGGTGGACCGTGGGTGAGGAAAAAGCTTACTACTGAGTGTTTTCAAGAAGTGTCATGAGAAAGCAGACATACATCGAGACTTTATGTTTAATTCCTTGTGGTCAGTAATTACACATTCACTGAACCGCACTCTGAGTTATGCCTTGAAGGAGTATTCTATTCCCAAAGCTTGGGAAAAGATTCAACCGCTCAGAAATTATTTCGATGAATTTTCAAGGTTCCTGACGGTTTTAGGAGTCCGATGGCGTGATGATGCTGGCATAGTTAGTGTTAACCACATGTACTGGTTGTATGTGGGTGAGGTAAATTGGTTATTTATAGCTTGTTCATGCACTTTGTGATGCGGTCATAACTCGAAAAAGTTTCAAATTTAATGCACACGCTGAGATCGACGCTCAGACATTTTTCCATCAGTACAGATTCATGATTAGAATCCACCAGAATAAATTGAAAAACCACATGTAATCAATTTACGTTATCTGACTTTTTTTTACTTGGGGGACTGCAACAATAATAATCTTTTCCTTCTACGCCATGTTTTTAATCATGATTCATGTGTTAAAACAATATTTTGCATGAATAATGAACCACTATAATAGTTGACAACATAAATTCCCGAGCAAAAACTAGAAAAGTTGTTTGAAGGGAAAAAGTTTAATTGAAAGGAATTTCGTAGAATTGCAAATATACGCGAGTCATAATGGAATGAAAAAAGTCAATATGAACGAACGATATATCGTAATCACATATTCAGATCAACAACATAATTTTCGATATTTGAAAAACTTTCACTTATTTAGCTATCATATATCCAAATATACACTAATATGCACTCCATTTAACCGTATTGTGCACTCTACAGTAATTTTACTTTTCATATCAATATTAAATAATGTGAATTTTATTTATCATAATTATAGGTTAATTACAATTCCATATAAATCCGCAATGCACATTTCAACTTCCTTGTCAGTCCCCATCACTTTTAAACTTCCTTATCACTCCCTAAAGCTAATTTCTCTTTTCAAATTACTCCCCATATATATACTACTCTTATTATTATTCTTTTATTTTCATTTATTTTCGTAAAAAATTGAAATGAAGCTCTTCTCTCTCTCTTCGTCTCTCTCGCCCTTTTTGTCTCTCTCAAAATCATCGACGACCGTTGTTCTCTCTCTCAAATTTTCGTCGCCAAGCATCTCTCTGAAAAGGTTCCATCTCTCTCCGTTTGTCTCTCTCTCTGAAAATTCTGTTCATCGATCGTCTCTCTCCCTCTCTCTCCATGAAAATCGCCGGCCAATTCTTTGGGAAAATTCCATGGCGGGCTCAGAAAACCGTCCTACTCGCCGTTCCACATCCGACAAATCGGCTTCTACAGTAAGCAAGGTAAGATTTTGGGCATTTTTTTCTAACAATTTTGAATTTTTTCTTCAATTCGGAATTTGGGATTTTTTTTTTAAATTTTGATTTTTTATTGAATTCAAGATTTTTTAAAATTAGGTATTTGGTTGATACTAATGCATTTCGAATTTTGAGTTTTATTTCACAAATTGCGAAATTTATTGATAAATTAGGCTATTTGCATGTCTAGGGTTTTATTGATTTTGGTATTATTTTTTTTTATCAATTGTTTCTGCTATTGTTATTGTAAATCAATTTTGAAATTCTTAAAAGTCCCAACATAGAGATTGTTTTTTGATTTTATTTTTTGTAAGATTCAATTTCAATTCAAAAATAACGATTCGGAAGAAAGTTCAATTACAGATCATAGTTTATGGACTCAGGTTGTCTGCTGGAAGTTTGTCTCAGTTTAATATTGCCCATTTGTTTCTCTTTTGCTTTTTTGTTTCATTGTGTAGGTGCTTTTCTATTTTTCTGTTATGTCTGTGGTTGTGTTAGTACTTTAGTAGACTTATTGTCAGTTGGTCTTTCCTTGTGTATTTCTGTGTTTGTGCTAGTTTTCTTTTTTTGTTCCTTATTTGATTTCTAGGTACTGCCCGCTAGTTGGTCATCTAGCGAAGCATCACTGCTAGATGACTTCTCTGTTTGTTATTGTTGTTGTTGTTGTTGTTTAAACCCGTTGGCTTGCCGAACTTTGTAATTACGAGCTTTATTGATTCATTTGATGTTTGGAAAAAAAAAACGTAAACAAGTTATAGTGGAAAAGCAAAACGAACTGGATATTCATTTTGCTTATGAAAAATATTGATTGCTGTAAATTAATTTTGAAATTCTTAAGAGTTCCAACATATATATGCTTTTTGAAGCATAATGGGAATATCTAGTTCATTTTTCTTTTCCACTTGAACTAGCTCACAATTCACATTGCATGAACAATAATTTGTAATTGAATTTTCTTCCAAATAAATTGAAATCGAACTCTATTAGATGTTGAATTTGAGTGGGCAATTGTTTGTTTGGTATTGGTGCTTCAGTTTGGTTCTTCATTGTTGAAATAGTTGAGGAAATGGAGTGGGTGTGTTATAACAATTTGAATACGA